TCAAATTGGACTTTGCCATGTGGGAAATCCTATTCTACACAGCAGCATTGCTGCTGCCTGCATTTATAGAATCAACCACTTCATTCCCGTCGGCTTTTCAAAGAGACACTCACATTGCTGTCTTTAACAAGCTCGCTGAAAAAAGATCTATTGGTTCAATCTGAAGGGCGTGGTTGCAATTTGTTTAATATATATTTGTTAAAAATCAGATTTGATGGAAGACCATTGTTGTTCTCATGGTCATGCTCACACAGTCTTGAATGACACTCCCATATAGTGCTGGGGGGTGTGCTGCATTACTGTATACAAATTGGCTGGCACATTATAATAATAATAATAATCCTTGCATTTGATATAGCGCTTTTCACATCTTCTAGACGTCTCAAAGCGCTTCACAGAATAGACTGTAAAGTGAATTGACTGTATATTTGTGGGCAAAATGCGGCAGCCAATTGCGCGCAGCAGTTTCCCACAAACAGTCATGAATTGAAGTGACCAATTTATTATTGTTTTGTTTCCTTGAGGGATTAATATCAAGTGTGTGGAATAAGGAAACTTGCCCAAGGTTTCACCCTGCCGGGAATCGAACCCAGGTCTCTCGCTTGCAAAGCGAGCGCTCTAACCGCTGAGCTACAGGACTCCACACGCAGATCCAGCTCACCTACAGATACACAGTCACTACAGTCACTACACTTTACTGTCACTACACTTTACAGCAAATCCTGTGAAGCGTTTTAATATGTCTTCCCAACATGAGAGGCCCTACATCAAATGCGAGGTTTATTATCAATATTTTTGTGTATCTTCATGTTTTTTATAAGCTGTGTTGTGTTGCCATAACTCCCTCTCTCTTACTTTGATTTGATCTATTTCTCAGTCGGTGCTTTTAATGACTGCAGAATAACTGGGGTGATTGTTTGCAGTCCTCCCAGATCATTGGAGTCACCCAGTCACACGAACCCAGACTCAAAATGATGCACTATTATAACTGTCTGGCCTGCAAGAATGTCTCCATTCTCAGCTTGCGGGATGAATGCACTAGGTTCAAGTTTGGGTGCTCAATAGGGTTCACACTCCAGTCAAACCCATGTTTCACATTCATCGTGTTAACAACAGAACATGCTCAATGTTAAACTGATGAGCAACCGATCTGATTATTTCTCCCGCAGACAAACCAAGCTTCCTTCTAGTAATATTAATACTTAAATTTCACATCAATATACTGCAAAGTGGTGTGAATTTGTGTTTTGTGGCAGCCAATTAGTGCACAGCAATGCACCACAAACAGCCATAATAATAATAATCCTTGCATTTAATATAGCGCCTTTTCGCGTCTTTGAGACGACTCAAAGCTCTTCATAGTATATACTGTAAAGTGAATTGACTGTATATTTTGTGGGCGAAAATGGAGTGAATGGCCAATTCTTCAGTCTGTAGATTGGAATTTAGAACGGGAATGGGTTTAGTGAAAGGACCAGCTTGTCTTTACCAAGAATCAATGTTCTTTAAAGAGCAGTGTACCGGCACCTGTAATAGACTCTCTCTCTCTCTCCTCTCCATTCTACCTTTCATGCAATACATCATGGTATCAGGAAATAAACAAATCACGGTATTGGTTGTAATCGACAGCAAGGTCCCAATGCAGATCAAGCTTGCAGCGTTTCAGACGTGTGGGCAAGTAGTCCTTCTTTATGGATCCGAGTTCCTGGGGATGTAGCAACCCATTTACAAAGTCCAGTATCAAGCAGTGAGGGGGTTTGTGACAAACATGGGAAGCTGCAAAGAGAGCAGGATCCAGCCTACACTGACCTGTCTGTCGCTAAGCACCCTGGGGAGGAGTTGGCTTCAGTTTGAGTGCCATGGCCCCTCATATTAGGACCTGGATTCAGCATGCGGTTTTATCTGGTTAGACTCCAACGGTACCCAACGTACACTCTGGACTCCCCAAGCCTTTGCTCTTGCCAACCTGCACCTAATACTTTCTGGAATTAGGTAAGCAGGATGCATCCCTCCAGGGAGAGAGTGTGTATTCCATTCCAATAAACATCTCTGGAATTTATATGTAGAATTGGGATATATGGAACTCTGTTTGGTTTGGATACTCTTAAGCATGGTGATGGGTTTCCATACGTGTCAGACACTTGGCTAATCAAATAGGATTTGATCCCAGGAGTTTACTGTCCACGATTGCACTCCCATAGCAAAAACTTGAAACAGTTTTAGTAAAATCACTGCTGATGGTGTAGTGGGTCACCTCCAGTCTCTCTGTCTAGTTTTTATTGCTGTCATAACACCACATTTCTCATGTCTGACACACTCTAACTGAAGCCATTGAAGAAGTAATTCCCCAGTGTCAAGGAACTATAAAGTACAGTAGCTTTTTTCAACCAGAGCCTGGGGATATTGAGCTCTATTGCTGCACTCTAGTGATGCAACGTATCAAACACTTCCTGCATCTTCAGTGAAGTTTAGTGATACATGATGAACACTAACAGTTCATGGTGTCTTGTTAGAATAGCCTCAGACAGATTGTAGTGTAATCAATTTCGGCTTTCTGCATATTGCACTGATGACCGAAGGCTATCACTGGTCTCTTTGCATAGAACTTGTTAAATATTTCACAAGAAGGAGGACCCATCTCTAATGAGCGTCAAGTTACTCTGCATGTAGCTTAATCGTCTTTAGTTCTCCATGAAACAGTTTAAAGTGGCATGACAGTACTTTAACACCTTTTCTAATCATTAGCCTTATGTTGAAAATTGCTGTGTGACCAGCTCAGACTTTGGTGGCGTTCCTGGAGCATTTGGCTTGAAGAATTTACAGAGTGGGGGAGCGGAACCAATACTGGGAATTAACAGGTAAGCCAGGCTGCTTCTGTAATCTTATTATTTCAACTGTGTGCATTCTTTCCTCTGACACACTCTGTCAGGCAAATTACATGTCTAAACTATCTCCCCAATCATATTGTTAGGACTCTATGAGAAGAGAACTCCCCCCTTCAACCCCTCTCCACCCCCGCCCCCACACCCCACAGATAGGCTGTTGATAATACATGATGTATTTCTTACTTGCTAATACCTGGTGCAGCAACCCACAACTGGGAATGGTGAAAATAAGTTTGTTCAGCGCAGCTCAATCTTAGGGGAGAGTTATATATAACTCCAATCTGACCAAAGATTCATTTGAAGTGAATTATCTGTGGAGTTGCAGCTAAAGGGGTTAATTGCTATATCTTTCTGGATTGCTTCCTTGTTCTTATTATTACTGTAGCAATCAGGCCTTTTAATATTGGGTACACAAGTCTCTGCTGGATTGCACTGAATTGGAAATGCTGGGAACTTATTTGCATCTTTTGCAGAAGGAGCCTGCAACCGAGTACACATTGTAAATGATGCATTCTCCTGATATCGACACATGCTGTATCTTAGGACCTTTACATACCACGATGTGAATGAAGCTTGATGATAATGCACCCTTCCTCCAGCTTTTATGTGAAGGGTTTTGATTGTAATTTTCAGTCTTTCATTCCCAGTCTACCTCTGCTCTCTTTTGCCTCTACAATCTCCAAAATAGACTGTAACTCTTTCGGTGCTGATTTACCACATATAATCTCCATATTTAATCCTTGCATATTGGTACTATGTGGTCTGTATTTTGTTTTTATAAGTGCAGCACATTCAATACATAAAATGCTTAGTTTATGCTTCATTATATGCTTTTATTGGCACAGATATGATGGGCCTTCTGTACTGTAAATTTCTACAGTTCTATATTTTCTCTTTTGATTTCAAAATAGGTGGAATTTCCTTGGCAATGAATGGGAGAAGGAAAATAAATTCTGACTAATGTCTCATCCTTCCTGGTATCTGTCCTGAAATTGCCCTTTGCAGCCCTAAACCTATTCCTTTGCTATTTCTGTTTACTCTCTCAATCCCATTAAAAATCCTATACACCTCTGTAAGATCTCCCCCTGAGATGTCTCCTTTCACGAATGAAGAGTCTTTAGCTTGTTTAATCATTGCTTATAGCTCACTTCTCTAACGGATCATCTTCATTGCTCTCTAGACCCTGGAGGCAGTGTGGAGGAGAACAACAAGGATAATTTCCAGTGTAGGAACAAGTGAGTCTTGCTCAAGTGCAGAAAATTAAGAGCCAGACTGATGTTAGTGCAAGTTTTACTTCTGCACCTCAGAGAAACCTACTGCTCTTGAGATCCTAACAATTCCACAGCTACATGAGTTAGTGTAACCAAAAGCATTATTCATGTACTGCTGGTATTTTATTTATGATACCTCCTTTGGCTGTGTCATTATTGATTTCAGTTGGTGATTCGCGGCTTATTGAATCTTTATTCTGTAATTTGGTTTTAGACAAAATAAAACTTCAATATGAGAATGAGAATTCTTCCCCTTCAACTCCCCACTGATGGTTGATATCCTTTTGTAACCCTTCATGGAATTCCTCCTTACAACTATTTGAAATCTGTCATTGCTTCTTTTTAAGTTAAAGAGCAACATTTGACCTTTGTGAGTCCATGGGAGGTAGAGATCAACCATGATCTTATAGAATGGCGGAACAGGCTCAAGGGGCTGAATGGCCTACTCCTGTTTCTATGTGAGCTGCACTTTGTTTTAGCTATAGAAACCAAATACATTTCTTGAAGGAGTAATCGAAAAAAAAGTATATAAAAAAAACAGTACAGGAGTGATATCTTTTTGAAAGATAATTAATTTCACTAGTTTAATGAAAAACTTGAGCCTTTGCCAGGAATTCCTTACCGGGGGGGGTGTTAGTTGACCCATTGCTCACCTTGTCTAAACTATGTGTCGCAGCAAAATCAAGGCAAACAGGATGTTGGGTTAGATTATAAAATCAATTAAATTCGGATTTCCCCAGAATCTCAAGCTATATAGTGATCTTCTCAGGCTAGACTGATCAGATGGTGCCGAGAGTACTAAATACAACATTGGCATCTACATACTCTTATTATCTTTACGTACCCGATTGGAATCAATTCTCTGCCTGGAGCTGTATATAGGTGGTGGGATGTTGAAGGCCTGAGGGACAAGGTACTCCTCAGCATCCATCATGTCTTCCAGCTCTTCTTCATCCAACAGGCTCTGGAAAAACTTACTGTCATTTGGACTGGGTAGCTTCATACGGTCGTCACCCTGCAATAACGATGAGCCTCATTTCATTACATGCAGCAACCCTCTGATGCTTATCATTACGGATTTACGTAGGATAACAACCCTACAGATAACTTGTAACTTGTCTTAGGAATAATACTCCACTTGGTAAGAGCTTTCATTTAAAGTCAAGGATTATCACAGAACAGCAGAGCACCTAATTTACGGGTTGTGTGAACCATGTGAACAGAGGGAATTTTAATTATGTAATTTTCCGCTGAATCACCCGTAATCCTTGTCATTTGCTTGTTAATTATGTAATCCATGGTACTTTTAATTCTATTTGTGTTCATGGTTAGCATGCCCACAAATTAGCACCTCTTGTAACTGTTACATATCATCCATGTCCTTTGGATGGCCGACTAACTCAATAAAATGGAGTTCAGTAAATCCAAATAACAATGAGAATCTGAGACTGATCTTTGCTAAAGTGGAAACAGTAAAAAAGAAAGCATGTAGAATGTACGCACAAACTTAATGATAAAAAAATCAAAAACTGGATTCTTCTCTGCGGTTTGCTATTAATGGGCAATGAAGGATGACCTTCGGCAAATAGCGGAAAGGAAAATTAGTGCTGCCCACAAGTCCATAGCACCAGGTGTTTGGGGAATGACGTGGCCCAATTATGTTGTTATATCCGAGACATTAGGAGTTTGATGAATAATATTACATGATGCTTTTTGTCCAGCTGTGTTCAGAACACCATCACTAGAGGACTTAGTTGCTGAACAAACTGTTGTACTTGATCCGGCCTGAAATAAAGAGTAATTCTTTAATTCCTAGATTCATTCTCTGGTGTATTGTTAGTCGATTGGCGATCACTTTTCTGAGGGTAATAATCCCTTCAAAAAAACAAACTAAATGATAATAATTGGTTACTCAATCCATGACTGTTTGTGGGGCACTGCTGTGCACAGTTGGCTGCCGCGTTTCGCCCACAAAATATACAGTCAATTCAGTTTACAATACATCCTGCGTCTTCGAGACGCTTTGAGACTTTTTGAAGATGTGATAAGGCACTATATCAAATGCAAGTGTTATTATTATCCTCCTCCCTTGTTATTTTCAAGTTATGCAATAGGAACACCCATATATACCTCATTGCTCACAGCAAACAGTAAACACAGAGCACACACGATACCAGATACTATATGTTGTGCTTGATGCATAATGAAAGAGATCTTGTATTATTTTGATCGAGAAACTGTACGTAGCATTGAGTACAGAAGAAAGCAGATGACTTTTGGAAGCTGTATGTAAAACAGACTTCTAGAGTTCAGTCACCTAGTTTTGCCTCCTCTTCTCCAAAAGATGGCAACTTAGCCTGGGGTAGAAGTCCACTGGTACTATCGATAATAGTTCATCCAAGTGGTTGTTCCCATATCAAAGCTACATAATTAGGGTCATCAGTTTATTCAACCACATTGTTGAACCTGAAGCTATCCTTAACAGAGGGCTGAAATGCTGGACTCCATTAAATGTAGCAACGTTTGTGATGCACCATTATAATGCAGAAATCTCATTAGTCTCTGAGAGAGTTCATAGTGCTACAGGTACCATTAACTTGGATTCCAGTCCATTGATAGTCACCCCACAAAGCTTCCAGCAGGGGTCATTGTTTAGCAAGTAAGAGCAGGAATTCTGCCTAATTTTCCTGCTCAGTATTCCACGGATGCCAATGCCAATTGTAATGGATCCACTGCTCACCTGGATGAAATCAGCAAACTCAGCACAGACAAGGGACTGAATCTGGAGCCTCTGGAGTGTTACGGCTCAGATCACGTAGTATTATTTACCCAACAGTTTTTTTTAAAACAAACATATTCTACACAAAAACAATTCCACAAGGAGCAAATTCACCACTTCAACCAAGTGGCTGATGGAAAGGGGTGAAGTGAAGTTGGGGCACTTTCTTATAAAACGGAAGAGAATTGAGGAAGAATCAGCCAAGTTTATTCTCATCTACTAGCTAGTTGTAATAATTAATACATGCATTGCATTCAGCGCCTTTCATATTGGGAGCAAGCCTCAAAACACTTTGAGGTGCTAAGTTCTGATGTGGGGCTTGAACGCACAACCTTTTGACTTAGAAGCGAGAGTGCTACCAACTGAACCAGTCTAACACAATCTAGTTGTAAGATCTGTAGTTTTGGGAAAGCTTAAAGCAGGGAGAAAAATTAAAAACAAATGCTATAATATTTAATGAACATGAGCAATATCCAAGATTACCAATTACATAGGTTTGCCAGAAAAAAATCTGTTGTTCAAAAAGTAAAATACAAAAAGGCATCCTTCAATCTTTAATTGGCTGAGAATTCAGAGCGAATCCAAACTGACCTGAATTACTAAGTATCTCTGAGGGTCTCGTGCCATTCTGGAAAATTCTGCTGCCAGTTCTTTAAATTTTGGTCTGCTGTCTGCATCGATCATCCAACCTAGGCACAGAGCAAGTAAAAGAATAGCTGAAAAGAAGGATAACTTTTACAAGACATTCAAGACATTCTCAGGTACTGACACTTGATATAGACTTGTTCACTATTTTTTTGTTGCTTGGAAAGACTCTTGTCTTTAATATGCAATCCACCTCCCCCCCACCCACCACCCCCTCCCACACACACATCCTTCCAACATAATACATAGCATTGAATTGGCTTGATAACTTTTCGTTAAACATGTGTTTCCACAGAGCTCGGGCACACACCAAGATGGAACAGTTTACATCAATGTAGCTTGAGCTTTCCAAGGAGGCACAATGCTGAGATGTTTGGGCTACAATCGTACAACGCAATGAACATTCACTCACTCGTTGCCTGACCATTAATATTTATTTACGAGAATACAGGTCTTGTATACACTGGTGATGTGCATTTGTGCTGGAGCTTTGCCAGATGCAAACTACACTATCTCTTATCTTTTAATTATAGGTCAAGCTCTCTCTTTACAAGATGTTTTTTTTCCACTTCCCTCTCCCAGGACCATTCTGGCCAAGATTGTAGGTAGCTGAGGATCTTCTTTCTGAAGCTGACTACTAGAAAGTAGAAACAGGCTACCATGTTCGCCTACAGTCACTACACACAGTCACTACACTTTACAGTACATCCTGTGAAGCGCTTTGCAACAACCTGTTGATGTGAAAGGCAGTATATCAAAATGTAAGGATTTTTTAAAACTAGATTCCAGAGACAGAGAATATATAGTCAATATCTAAGACTGAACAAGCTAGGTAATTTTTCTTTAGCTATCATGCTCTACAAACAAAATATCAGAGTATCTTCCTCCAGGGATGAAACAAGCAGAACCTTATTTAATACGTTAGCTTCTTTAGTTCTTGGCTATATGGCAATAAAATAATAATTTTACAGCAACTATGGGGCACATTACTGCGTTGAATTATAGAACACTCAACTTGAATGGTAATATTTTCTCTGACCTGAAAATTGAGTCCAAGATTACACTGATGGAAACACATTAAAATGTATTCCTGGTTTCACATGTATAAAAAAATATTAATTGCAAGTCCCAGAGCAACATTCATATTCAATCCAAAGAATCAAATAAACCTCAATAAAATAAAAATTCTGTAAAATACATCATAACAGTTTACAGTAATGAAGCTAATGACAATGGTTGGGTTCAGGTTAGGCTGTACTGAAGCAATCCTGCTGAGACTTAGATGCGGGAATTTCTTTACTTACTTATGCAGGAGGTTAGTAGCATTACATCAGACTTGCCTGCAGTTACCAGGTAAACCCTATGTGACCTGAAGTGCCTGATGTGATGATTGAAACTTGCTTTGTAAGTGTAGGGAATAGGTAAATGTGTAAAGGGAATTGGGTGTTATTCTTTTAGGAATGAGTATATTTTCTGTGTGACGTGCTCTGAACTGAAGTGGGAATAATAATAATCCTTGCACTTGATATTGCGACTTATCACATCTTCGGACGTCTCAAGGTGTTTCACAGAATATACTGTAAAGTGAATGGACTGTAATATTTTGTGAGGCAAAAGGGAAAGGAAGTAATGGGAGATGTCTCAGCAAGAACGAGGCAGCAACTCTGCTTGCAGTTTAAATTTGTACAGTGTAATTTTCCTTTCCTCATCGGGGATCATTCTGCTCAGATTCATGAAAATTATCAAAAACAAACAAACGCCACTAGCAACAAATGCATTAGGAACTAAACAGCCATTCCCCACACTCCCCATTAACCTTTTTTAAAAAACTTTCCTAGCGAGACCAGGTCAGCAACTCAGTGACAACGTGCCATGACCAGTCTCACCCAATGGCACCAATTCCACCCCCTTTGCCTCATCTTTTTTCAAGGGAGAATCCCAACTCCAGTGGTGACACTGAGCGAAGGACTACATTCATGGAAAAAAAATGCGCTGGGCATTTGTCGCACGGATGGTTTTTAAAAGAAAAGTAGAGGTGAGGATTCTTTTGGGAAGTCATGGTAGTGCACAATACGGGGGCCTATGCAGTCAATAATCTTGCTGCCAGAAAAAATCCCTCCCAACACAATGGTATAGTTGTTGCCCTCAACAGACTGCAGGCTATGAACCAAGACTTTCAATTAGACGTGAATTCTGTTTAATTGGAAGTTTGTGTGGTTTAAAAGAAAGTGTAGGAGGCCTTTGGAGTAAATGATGAAGGCTAATTCTCCTGGTGACCATCAGCTGCTTTCTGCAGCAGTACAAAGGGAATCCTTCAATCTTTTGAGAATTGTACTTCAAATGAAAATCTTTGCAAATCCTTTCTATTCATCTCCAGCCAGATTTGTGCCTCAGCCTTGCTTAAATAATCACTTTCCACATTCTAGGAGTAATTAGTCCTGGCTTACATTTCACCATGACCATATAGACATCAATCGTGCAAATTGGAGGTTGAGAAAGACGTTCCCCTTTTTCCAAAATGTCTGGTATTTCACGGGCCGGGATGCCATCGTAAGGCTTACCGCCAAATGTCATTAGTTCCCAAATGGTGACACCTAGAGAACATAAACAAACACATGAATAATAATATTGATGGCCTCGTGCCACCTGCCTGAACTGCTAATATTCAGCAACATCAAGGAAAACAACAGTATTGGAATGAAGGCCACAATGCAAGGCTTTCTTCCATGCGATGAATGTATCAAGACAGTGCGTGAAGGAAGCTTACCGCAATCTGGCACCTACCATAACTCCAGACGTCGCTCTGATGAGTGAATTTCCTGTAGTGAATGCACTCCAATGCCATCCACTTAATTGGCATCTGCAAGAGCATGGAGAAAGATTGTTACCACAAAAGCTGCTTGCATCCATCTTAATCCAAACACTCAACACAAGGACTGATCATTGCATTAACTACATTGTCATCCATTACAAGACCTATAGCATCTCAGTTATATGTTTTGTTCACAAAACACACAGTCACAACACTTTACAGCATATCCAGTGAAGCAGTTGGAGACATCTTGATGACATGATAAGGCACTATATCAAATGCAAAGATTATTTTTTATTGTAAAACCCTGGCAACTTTTTCTGGGCTAACTTTTCATTTCAAAATTTATGTTGACTGTGTTGTGAACTTCCAAGACAGACTCAGCTCAGAATAACACAACAAGAGCTTGGCTCCAAAGGCCACCATTATAGCAAGAGTGACGTGACTTGTTTCTCATAGACGTTCAAACGTATTTCTGTTCTTCAATGTATTGAATATGGACCAACAGTAGAGCAGGAACAGGAATGTATCATTCAGCCTAACAGAACTGTTCTGCCGTTTTATTCAATGACTGTGGATCTTTTAATCCCATTTCCATGCCTTTTTTCCACATCCTTTGATGCTCTTTCTTCATATGTCAGCCTGCTTCTTTTAAACATCTCAATTGACTCTGTATCTGTGACCATCTGGGGCAACACATTCCACATTCTAGGCCCTGTGTGAACAAGTTATTTCTGATCTCACTTCTAACTGACTTAGCTCTAATTTAACAGTATGTCCCCTCGTTTTGATATCGGGTCAAAGTATTTGGATCTTACAGGCAACCCAGAGGCATGTCTGCTGCTGAATCCCAAACTGCAGTTGCCCACCCACTTCCAACTACTGAAATAATCCTTGATGACATCATCCTTGCTACTGGACACTTTCAAAAAATCTCTGTGCTGCCGGGAATTGGAAATATGGGTTTGAGAGTTTTTTGCTGGCTCTGCTTCTGTTGGGGCCACCTACTAAGTGAGGGAGACAATTTGAAATCTTCAAAAACTAGGATGGCTTCAAATTCAGTAGCGACTGATAGATACCTGGGTGTGGTTACAAGGTAGACGTCTAACCAAGCGATACAGGAGATATTAGAAATCAAGAGAGTAATGATATAGCGATTATAACAGTTATGCAAACCCTGTGAGTACAGTTCAATCTTAAATTCACTCTTGCTACAGCTTAGCATTTCAATCGTTCGGAAGTGGTTCAACTTTTCTCAAACAATTCAGACAATTGCCAAAAATTATGAATGTTTGATGGCATCTCAACACAAGAGGATTATGCTGTAATTACTGCATCGGCACTGAATTCTGGGTGAACCAGATACATTTAGATAGATATATATATATATAGATACCTAGATACATATGGGACATTGCTATGTGCAAAGTAGCTGCCTCATTCACCTACAAAATACACAGTTACTACATATTATGGTAAATCCTAAGAAGTACTTTAAGACGTCCTCTCATTGAAAAGTGCAATATCGAATGACAGTAATTACTTGAGACATCTCTGAGACATCTTCGGGACTCAGTGATAGACCAGATAGTCTGGTCAATCATTATCAGGTATGTTTACATGTGTGTGTTGGGGGTGGGGCAGGAGGGGGGGAGAGGGGAATGCAATTTAGCCCCAAAACAACCCCACTTACTTATTCATGAAGATGATTTGTTTTAGAGACGGCACAGATTTTTATCGACACTCAAAAGGTTAAGATCCGAGTAGTTCAAATTGTACTCAAAGTTGAATGATCAACTCACTGAGTTAACTCGGGAAGTTTTGGCATTATTCCTAAAGTTGAGGTGCTGTAGCAGGTGAAGTAATGACCATGAAGAGTATCAGTAATTGAAAGAGCCTTTCCTCTTGCTGGGGACAAAAACACTTTAAAAAATAATAAAAAAAATCAAATTCCAGTAAAGAGCTTCCTTCAAGAAGCCCAGAGCTTGGAATAGAATCTCTAAGTTATTGTGTGCAGGGAGTAATGCATTACTGGCAGTGATTATAAGGCAGTAATTTGATTGAAGGGTTCTGATGATCTCCTAGATTATAAGAGTGAATCTCAAACAGTTCGTAACCATCACGTGAACCACAATATTAGATCACAGCCTCAAAATCATTCGACAGTATCAGTTCTTTTTTACACTATATATACCATTTCAATTTTATATTGGTGCATTATTCAGTTTTTAGTCTGTTTTGTGCAGAGACCGGCTGTCAATGAGGACTGTGAACGCACTCCACGTTGTTGATGTGCAATGACATTAACACAAGCAGAGGAACAATTGTGAGCTCATTGCTCCAACTTTATCGAGGAACAATATGCAGCAGATTATAGGGAAATTCTGTAGCCAGAGTATAAAAGAGAAAGTTTCTCTTTTGTTCTACCGATGCACTTATTGTACCACCTTGTTTAAGAGAAAACTTGATGGAAACGCTGAAGGACGAGGGAGCAGGGTATAGAGGAGTATAAGTAAGAGGAATGAAAAGGGTAGGGATTCGTGCAAAGTATAAACACCAAGGACTAGTTGAGCCGAACAGTCTTTTCGGTGACATATGTAACTCTATGCATCTATCAGGATGCATCCCTCCAGGGAGAGAGTGCGTATTCCAGTTCAACAATCTATCTCTGGAATTTCCATGTGTAGATGGGATGCATGGAACTCTCAGTTTGGTTTGGATGCTCTTAAGCACAGTGATGAGCTTCTGCATGTGTCAGACACCCGACTGACCAAAAAATAATATATCTACCTTTTGCAAACTGTTGTATTATTATAGTCATGTTATCTGAACATTTTTATTCTTGCAAATCAAAAGAACATGAAGCAGAAGAGTCTGTTATTTCCTTTTGTTTCTCTGGTCTTAGTAGATATCTACCACAAAACTTAGATTGAATTTTAAAGAAGTACAATGCATTAAACTATCAAGAATCATGGAAGAATCCTCAAAGTAAGTATGTTTATTATAACTTGGCCCACGACAAGAAGGTTTGGTCTTACTGGGGATGTTGGAGAGCAAAACTATTCACTAGTTATTTGTTGTTTGGATTTTCTTCTCAGGATTTAGACTGTGTCCGTTTTTCAATTGTACAATATAAGAGGAAACATTGATTTTCCATAAAGGTCCAGTATTATCATATTCCTGTCCATCTGGGTGGGGAAACGATGGAACAGAAAAAGTATTTCTAACAAAAACATAATTATCAAATTGCTAAAACATTGAATGTGTGAAAAATGCATCACTGAATTTCTGAACAATACATATGCTTGAAGATGTCATCCTTCAATATATATGAGGCAGCACAACTGGTGAAGATCATAATTAGATAGTAAAATGTAAGTTAGACAGTCTCGCTCATTGAGCTGAAATTCCCAATCCGTAGCTACAAGATTTTACCAACCTTTCCTCCATCCGCATTATATTCCTTCTCATCCACATCCAGCAGCCTGGCCAAGCCGAAGTCTGTGATCTTAATGTGATTCGGTGATTTGACAAGTACGTTTCTTGCAGCCAGATCTCGATGAACAAGGCGCCTATCTTCAAGGTACATCATTCCCTGTGGCACAAAACAATGAACAAATCATGTTAAGATATTCATATTCATGTCCTCCAGAACTTAAAATGGCATACATTAACAAGGTTTAAAAGTATACCATCATTGTTTCACAATTAATTACTTCCTCAATGAATCCACTTTATTGGAATCCCTCTATTGAAAGGCACTTGGCTGATGGGAGAGGTTTGGGGGCAGGTTCAATTCCAACACTGGGCTCTTTTGAAAACCACAGAGCCATTAAATTGGAGGAGTGGAGAACATTATGGATTCTAGAGTTAATGTTCACCATGAAGAAAGTATTACACAACCTATCTTTGTGATCATCTTCCCCATTCTCTGAATATTATTCACCCTCCACGTTCCCTCTAAAGCTGGTCATCCAAATTGGGAACAACTGTCCCCTCAAGACTTACACATCCTTGAAGTAGGTATACAAGTTATGTCATGTCCCCTTTCCTCTCCCCATGGAATTATCTCAGCATAAGAGCTGATACAGTTATATCCACATCAACAAATGCTCCTAGCACTGCAGGGCCATAGAAAGGAAAGGAGTTTTTGTGTAGAGGTTAAACTGCTGTTCATATAAAGGAGCAATCAGCAAATCAACAGTGTGTACAACCTAATATTTTCTCTCCTTCAATCACCACCAAGTTAATAATAAATTATGCCAAAGTTATAGGATCATTGAGGGGACTAACTTGATGGCTTCATTCTGTGACCAAATTAGAGCAACATATTTCCAAAACGTTTGCCTCCAGCTGTTTGATCAAATCATATAACCTGCAGTACAAATATGCAGATGACTTCATAGAGTTATCTTGCACACAAAGTTTAGAAAACTATGTAAATTGGCTTATTTAATGACTGCAATACATTTAGATGAGCTTTTATCCATTCCTAATGTACGTCAACTAGATGAACTACAGCAGAGAGAACTTAATTCTACAAGCCAATATTTCTAAGGCTTTGTTAATTTAATCGATAATTGCCGCGATTGGCAGATATCCTTGGTTCAATCTGTATGTCTAAAACTTTGCAAACATTGGTAAAATTCTACTTTCCAGAGGTGAGTAAAACATAGGAACATCATAAGCATCATAGGCGCCTGAGACAAATAAACATAGATATAATTTTGAGCAAAACTCCTAGAATTGTTCTATTTAAGTGGCAAATAGTGAGCAGCATGTCGCTTACAACAATAATAATCCTTGAGCTTGATATCGTGCCTTATCACATCATTGAGATGTCTCAACACTCTTCACAGATATACAGTAAAGTGGATTGACTGTGTTTATTATGGGTGAAACGCAGAAGTCAGTTGCGCACAGCAATGGATTATGGTCCAGATAATGCACACATGAACATGGATATTACTAACTGAACAACTTAAGTTACATAAGATTGTAAGAAATAATCAAATAAGTTCTAACTTTGAGGAGGGCCACCAATGAAGGGAGTAAAGAAATGAGGTATAGTTATAAAACAAGGCTGGTGCATGGTAGAGCAGTAATCATCAACTCATGTGGCTCCCACAAGGATTTATAAATCTGAAAAGTGACCGATGCCTTTCAATTGTCTGACGGCCTATTTGGTGAACATGAGAAAGAAGCAATTGAGGCAGAATGATTGAGATGTAGAGATGATACTAGCACAGCAGTAAGCTCATCACATTAATAGTTGCATCTCTGTGGATTCAGTACTCAGCAATCAGCTTCCAACACATACTTTCCACGATGATGGAACAATTCGAGTACATCACCGAGTAAATAAAGTCTAGATATTTTTGGTTTGACAAGGATTACACAACATCTCAAGATTGGTTCAGATGAAGAAGGCTCTTTGACCCATGTGAATGCATCCTTCCAGAATATCCACCCACCACAGCATCAAGTTTATTAAAAAAAAGTGTCCAGTGTTCTGTTCTCAACCACTCTTCCTAGCAACCTGTTCCAGTCGTTTTAATTCTCTGTCGTTAAACACATACTTCCTGGTGTCTGCCTAAAAATGTCCATTGCAACTCTTTTTAACAGTACCTACAACAACAACTTGCATTTATATAGTGACCTTCACGTGGGGTAGCAGCCCGGAGCCCTTGACTAAATTCTAGCAACAAGTGACAGGATCTGAGCAATTAGTTTCCTTCCCCACCATGTGAGACATCAGATAAGCTGCATTAATGCAATTGTGTGCAGTGAATAGGCTGCTTTAATCATATTCTTCGAGATCCCTAAATTCACATTGCCTGAAGATACAATCTCTCCTCCCTCCTCTCTCTTTCCCCCGAACCGCCCCCGACTGTGTGTATTCTCCGCAGTTATGTTCCAATTGTTTGGCTGCCACTCAGGGTAAAATGAAGCACCCATGTCTGTTCTCAGACCCAACTCCTGCATGATGGGGAATTCGTAAAGATCCCTGAGTCAAGCTCTCAATTATTCAGACCAACAGCAAATTTACATAGTCGAGGTGCTCTGTTGCTATCCAGTTTGAAAGGCAAATGCCACAATCCAGCCGATCGTGAAGCTTACTAATTCTGAGCTGTGAAAGTGCCATCAAACTCTCCGTGCTTTTCCATCTCAAGCTTTGCTTACCGGGGGGAATTCACGGTCTCTGGGAACTGACGCGGGCAGTCAGTCCTGTAGGATGTGCACAGAGTTACCTTCCACAATTCTCACTTCCAGGACCAGCTTTTCCCAGAAGGGGAAGAAAATCAAGATGTGAGAAAATCACAGCCGTGGACTCGGCTAATGCAATGACAGACCCTTGGGCAGAGGAGAGGAGAAAGGGGGCCACAAATGCCTCAATAAAGCAGCATTTTTAAAAATATTATTAATTTAGTCTACGCAAATCACAGTGGCTATGCTTGTGTGACCAGAATTGATAGGAATCATATTAATAATGTGAAAATTGAAGAATGTGTTAAAAGTCAGATTCTGTCTGTGTTGAACCTGAGTGGAATAATAGCTGAAGAGTGAATTACAAGGAACAGGGCTCTGAGGTAAAACATTAAAACCTAATTATGTGATAAGGTAGGATAAACCACCAGATAGCAGGAACCTCAAAAGCCAGTCTCTCTGACCTTACTGAATATCAATATGAAGCTGTCAAATGCATTATAGGCAGCACATGTCTTTCTACCACGTTTACATTAAAATTGTTTTACTACTACTCAAGGACATTTTTACAAAATTTATATATATATATGTGTGTTGCATATTTTTCTTCATTGTATAACTACTGGTATATTATTATTGGGGGTGGGGGGAAATAGTCACTCATTTCATAGCTCTTTTTGGGACATTGCTGCATGCAAATTAGCTGGCACGTTTGCCTACAAATACACAGTCACTACACTTCACAGTAAACTCCTGAGAAGCACTTTGAGATGTCTCGATGGTGTGATAAGGTGCTATATCAAATGCAAGGATAAATATTAAGTCTATTTTTAATATGACATTACCTATTTAAATGTGAGGAAACATTAAACAAGAGATTTTTTGGTGCATTGTGGAATGTCTGGCAATAGCACTGTGTTCTTATCCTGCAGAATGGAAAGAGGAACTCACTGTTAAAAGGGAAAGTGTCTGAAAGCAGATAACATGTTCAGTGGAGCAGCAAATGCTTGCTTCTAAGTGATGCAAGATTACCAGATTTTATCTGGTCTGAATGCCAGCACGTCAAGAATGAAAACTGAAGTATGAATATGAAAGCAACAAAGGGACTATTTGAGCAAGTCTACGCATCTCTGGACTTAATTAAGTGGAATTGCCTAGTAGTAATAATAATAATAATAATGATACTCCTTGCATTTGATATATGGTCTTTTGCAGCAGGAGGACATCTCAAAGCGCTTCACACAATAAACTGAAAAATGTAGTGATGGATCTCCTCCTGACTTAAAAGGCATTATACCAACTGTGAAGAAACACCTTTTAATGTCCTACACGTTATATCATTTTACATTTCTCACTGCAGCATCAAACATCTGGAACAACTGCTCGTCTCTATCCTCATAGCCTCTGAATGACCCGAGTCTGTCCTGCCACACATCAAGTCAGGAGATGGCAGCAGTCAGTGAATGTGCATTTAAAATGGATTACTTCTGGTTTTAAGACAGTTGGTCGATAGAGATCTTGATTGCTGTGAGGTCTGAGATAATATTTTCCTACTGTCCCTGCTTCAAAACAATTAAAGATCAATAAATCTAGGGCACATTAATAGATGTGATTCCTGTGCGGTACAGAGATGTACCGAGATGGTGTTTTTGTACCATTCAGCAGTTAGTAGCTGATTAAATGGACCAATATAATTCCTTCTCCATCAAAGCAATAAACACACAAAAGTTGAAGTATCAGCATGCTTTTAAACATACAAGAGTGTTACTGAAAGATGAGCTCGGTTGTAAAATTTCAAACAATGCTTGTAACACAAGGACTCCTCAGAACTCTTATCATTTTTTCTGAATTAATAAATATATTCATTCTCACAAATAGCAATACATGAAGGAGTAAAACTGAAAACAAACAACAGAGTGGAATATCCTGAAACAAAGGTATTTTCTAAAGCACTCTCAAGAGCTTTCATACATTTTTGCAGCTTTGCGATCAACTGTATCAATACTAATGGCTCAGCATTTTGAGAACGCTTTGAGAGACCAATTCTGAATGAAAGTGGTTGCACTTGGCACTTGCACATAGCAGGCCTTTGGACACAGTGCAACTTAGGGTTTCCTAGTTCAAGATTCCTCTGGCACTGGCCTCTCGGTCTGTCTGAAATGTCAGCATCTAAGGCAAAAGGGCGGAGCCACTGGAGAACATAGAAAGACCCATCACCGGGCATAGCAAATGTGAGTGGGGATCTGAAAAGACAGGTCTCTATAGGAGAGGAATCTATTCACAAGTTAGAAATAACCCCCCAAAAATCATGTGGCGGAGTACATTGTCCTAAAGTAGTCTGCTAGACTTCACTTCTCTTTTATTCTCATCAGTGGAGCACTATTGAGT